GAGGTTGGCAACATCAAGCTGTTCAACAAGTGGGACTACGACGTCGAGGTCCGCGACATCTCTCTGACGTGAGAACCGCCCAACCCTGTCGGAATGGAAGCAGAATGCGATGATATGGGAGCAAAGACTAACCAGAGACCTCTCTTCACAGCGACTACGTCTCCCTCCGCAACCCCGTCTACGTCACCCACTCCGCCGGTCGCTATGCCACCAAGCGCTTCCGCAAGGCCAACTGCCCCATCATTGAGCGTCTCACCAACTCTCTGATGATGCACGGCCGCAACAACGGCAAGAAGCTCATGGCCGTTCGCATTGTTGCCCACTCCTTCGAGATCGTACGTCGCCCGGGACCCAGGAAGAGTTGCATGGAACGGCGCATCAACCGCGCACAGTGGTACGGGATGCCGAAAGAAGAACACATAAGCTGACCAGCACAGATCCACCTGATGACCGACCAGAACCCCATCCAGGTCGCCGTTGACGCCATTGTCAACTGCGGTCCCCGCGAAGACTCTACCCGTATCGGTTCCGCCGGTACCGTTCGTCGCCAGGCCGTCGATGTCTCCCCCCTGCGCCGCGTCAACCAGGCCATTGCCCTGCTGACCACCGGTGCTCGTGAGGCCGCCTTCCGCAACGTCAAGTCCATCGCCGAGTGCCTCGCCGAGGAGCTGATCAACGCCGCCAAGGGCAGCAGCAACTCGTACGCCATCAAGAAGAAGGACGAGCTGGAGCGTGTCGCCAAGTCCAACCGGTAAACGGGGAACACGGATCTGGCTGCCGCCGTGGGTCCTCGACTTTGTTGTGGAGGGACTGCGGTGGTCGCTTCTGGCGCGAGTTGCGAGGCCCTGGCTTTGCAACAGGGAGACGGGGAAAACACCAGGGGGGCCGGGCGTGGCTGCGTAAACTACTACGGAGAGGCGTGGGATTTTTACTGGCATCCATCCTTGCGGCGGCGGCATGGACTGGCTGTGCCCCGCATCCTTTGCATTTGTGCGTTCGGGGATATTGGGAACGCGGCTACGGCATCTTGTCTCTTACGGACGGCTCTAGGTGGACTCTCCCAATAAAAAGCCAGGCTCGTTGGAGCAATCATGACCATGACGGCGGGTGTTGATGATGGTGATGTGTATTTATGTTTAAATGCCAAGCAACAAAAACTCTAGACTCTGTGCAGTGAAGTCAATGATAACTAGGCCGGGGAAGCGGAGTGTCGTGTATGCCGGCCGCCTCCCGCTTGGCAACAAGATCGGCACGGTCGCCACACGGAGGCGGTCCACAACGTCATACCGCTGTTGGCTTTCGTGGTCATCAGGCACCGAAAGCTTGTGGGAGAAGCATGTGGCGCGTTGATTAGATGGGAAATGCCTGATATTGGGATACTTTTTGGGAGGATCGCATTAGGGTCAATGTGGCAGGTCACTTGTCTGCTTATTGACATCTATATATCTCATCTGTGCCTCGTCTGACCGCCATATGATCTCACTCTTCCCCATCATCCCATCTCTAAGATACTAATCGCACCCACTACTACAGAAACATTGGCCGGGAACATTCGTGGTCGAAGTATAGTCGAAATTCATATTTCATCTTGTTCACCTAACAGCAATCTACCAACCATTGCACCATGGGCACCCCATTTATATCCCTCCAAGAGCCGACGCCGCTAGACGACTACCTCCTCGGGCGCCCTCACGATGCCCAACCGCCGTCCATTCCTAAATCCTTTTCCGACGCCATGGAGGTGCGCACCGCCGTCTTCATCGAGGAGCAGGGTGTGCCCGCCGAGAACGAGTTCGACGCTGACGACAGCCGCTGCTGCCACTGGGTCGTCTACGCGTCTGTCAATCAGGTCGTCCAGGAGGAGGTCGTCGACGCCAACGGTAACATCACGACGCCACGACGCAGCAGTACCCGGTCAACTCCCATTGGCACCGTTCGTCTCGTGCCCTTTCCCCACGCGCCGCACCCAAAGGACGGCGGAGAGTACTGGGACGGCATGCTCAAGGGCGGGGCCGTAGATGGGGTTGAGGGCGGGGACGCCACGGCGGGACCACCGGGGCGGGGTGAGGACGGGATCCTGCTCCATGAGGCGGATCGGGCGACGAGCCTGCACGATGGAAAGGAGCCGTATGTCAAGCTGGGACGGCTGGCGGTCGTGAAGGAGTTTCGGGGTCATGGCATTGCGAAGCTCTTGGTCGGACAGGCGTTGGGATGGCTCAGGAAGAACCCGACGTATTTCGACCCCAGTATCAAGGAACAAGGTCTTGAATCATTGGGTGCCGCTTCCGAGAAGGACATTCCAAAATGGGGTGGTCTCGTCTGCGTACATTCACAGGAGCAAGTCACTGGGACGTGGGAGCGTTTCGGATTCAATGTCGATGAGGAAATGGGCCGATGGAAGGAAGAGGGTATTTGGCACCGGGGTATGTTCATGAGACTGGAGCTTGGGGGTGACGAAGCTTCATCCTAAGGTAGGACTCAGGAATCACAGGTGCTAATTCTCGCATGATGATGAGACATGATATAGCTAAGGCGTAGCGAATGTAATGGACTTCGCTTTCAACCACCTTGCTGTTGCTTGGATTCAAGTGGCGCACTCCCGTCGCTCTGATTACCTTCGAGCTTAAATGACAATTAGGGAATATGTAAAACCATTGTTTGAAGTATGTGTCCTTTTAAGTGCGTGCTGTTAGTGCCATACTGTGTTGTGCTCTTCAATAGCACATAGCATTTCTAGTCTTGATTTGTTCTCCAACAATAATTCATCTGAGAAACAGTTTTGCAGAGGTCATTGACGTCACTATATCGGAAATAGTCCCAGAACAAATCATTGACATATTATCAAGACGATTCATCATGTTCAGTACCCCATGTGCATATCAGTCTCGTTAGTATGTTGACTTGGGCTGCTCTTCATCGAACTTTACCAAGATCACCACTAGGACCTGTACCACGTGACTTCACGAGTCTCTGAGAGGAGGCATTCGTTACTGCAAGTTGGAATCTGTCCAAGCTTAGCCAGACAAAGGAGAACAACGACAGAAAACCTCAGAAGGAAATTCAATCTTCGCGAAACAGAGGTCTCCCGTCTGGAGTGGGCAGAGTTCTGAATGACGACCAGGTCTTGCTGTGAGCGACGACAAGAACAAGGCGCACGGACCACAATCGACATCGCACGGGCCAATTCAGGTGGTCGCAAGCCAAAACCTGAGAGCCTTCTAGCCACTCCCTTCAACACCAGCTGTGTGCAGCCTCCTCCACATACGCTTTCTTCGGTACATTTCCGCCTCTGCACCAAGCTCGTGGCGTGCTCAACGCAACCACATTACTACCAGGATGTCGGAATTCCTAGGGTACGCGGGGTCTACCTGGTTGCCCCATTGGCGATCCACATCAGCAAGCGATCAATCTGTACTGACGTGCACACCCTAGATCTCGCATCTCCCTCATCTCCAAGAGTGACATCCGGTATGGCACTCTCCCCTACCCGCCACGCTGCATTCTGGCTTGGCCGCTGACTCCTTTACCCTTGCAGCTATGTCGGCGTCCTTCACGAAATCAACTCGGACGAATCTACCGTCTCGCTCGAGAACGTCAAGTCTTTCGGTACCGAGGGTCGCAAGTCTCGCCCCGAGGAGGAGATAGCACCCTCCGACCAGGTCTACGAGTATATTATCTTCCGCGGCAGCGATGTGAAAGACTTGCGTATTGAGGACCACCCGGGCATCAAGGAGAACAAGGCTCCTGCCGTGCCCGAGGACCCTGCCATCGTTGGTGTGAGTGCCACCGCTGTCCCCCTTCCAGCCCAATCTCCTTGGCCACCCTTGATGAACCATTGCGGATGTAAATCTTATCACCTTGTCGGAAAAGCGCAAAAAAAAATAATGTCGAACTTTCCGTTGCCTTCCTTCTGATTTTTGGCCTATTGCCTCGAAGCATTGTGTCGACCTTCAAGACATGCAGCAAAGCTGACACCTACCCCAGTCGCGCCCCCGCCCCGGCGGCCAATTTTTTTAATTACCGGCCGCCCCCCGTCCCCTAGGGTTTCGGACATTGAAAACGCTTACAATTTTCCGTGGGTCCTTGGTCTTTTGCTGAATGTTTTGTTTTTTTTTTTTTTCCTTTTTCAATCTGGACAGACTGGAAAATATCTGGAGCCCCGATGACATATTCTACTCCCCCCGGCTGGTT